AAACGCACTCTGACTAGGCGTGATTAACCATGGAAGCGCACACTTCAATCTACTAAAAATGACTTTCGAAATACACTTAAACTACACATTACACAAGAGATCGGACGAAAATCCCTCATATGCATCAGATTAGCTACTTTGGGAACCAACACAAGAGTGGTCGCATTAAAGGCAGGTACAACTTTGAATTCTCAGGAAAAAACATAGGACCGCATCCACAAATCATCCCCCGCAATACTCCAAGCATCCTTGAAAAATCCCACAGAAAAACCATCAGGCCCCGGAGCTTTGTCCGGATTTTGATCGAACAGAGCCTTCCTAACCTCCTCCCGAGACACCGGCCGGCACAAATCAGCTTGCAACTCCTCCGAAATAGAACGCCCAACCACCTCCTTGATAAGCTCACAAGAGCAGCCTTGAACCTCCCCATCATGAGCACCCAACAACTTGCCAAAAAACCCACAGCCTCAGCCGCAATCCCATCATAATCATCAAGAATCTGACCGAGATCATTAGTAAGAACCTTGATGCTTTGTCGATTTTGCCTAACCCGAACCATAGAATGGAAAAATTTAGAATTCATATCACCTTCCTACATCCATAAAGCACGAGACTTTTGACCAAAAAAACTCTCCTCCGCATCCAGCAAACATTTTAACTCAGTCGAGAGAGACACCACACGATCAAGCAACTTCACAATTACCACCCAAGACCTCTAACTGCACCCGCTCCAAAGCCGCCCTTACTTCTTTAACCTTCAATGGCAACCCACCAAAGCTCCGATATTAAGCTCACGCAAACAAGGCTTTAAGCGTTTCAATTTAAGAAAAAGGCGAGACATGGCATCAAATGCACGAATAAGGGAGCTCCAACTATCACCAACCACCTGTAAGAAACTCGGATCCTTCACCCAAAAATTGAAGAATTTAAACAGCTTCGGAGGGGACTATTGTTCTTTTCAAGCCAAATCACACTAGGACAATGATCCGAGGGGTCAGGTGCCAAGAACTCAACCATAGCATGAGGAAAAGAAGCCTAGCCAAGAAGGACGACCCTTGACAGTTTGACCAAGTAAAAACCAGACCAGCAAACGCATGATTAATAAGACCCAAAGACTCCACACAACAAGTAAAGGTCTCCATATCACGAGCTAAAGCATGACTAACAGTCTCAAAACTCTCCTGCACACTAGAGATAATATTAAAATCCCCTGCGACCAACCAAGGCTCCTCCCCTATACTCCTTTGGAGCTCAACTAGATGACTCCACAAATGAACACACTCACTCCCTAGATTACTTCCGTAAACACAAGTGACAAAAAAACAGACATCACGCATACGGATAGAAAAGTAACACTCAGATCCGTAATCTCCACTTCATGCACATCAATATAATCTCTACATAACAATCAAATCCGACCATTTACAGCAGCTAGATAATTATTAAAACCCTTCCACTCCCTCGTATTTTCAATTTAAAAAAAATAAACAAAACCCTTAAATTATTTGAAGAATTCAAACCTCTAAATTTTAATTACGGAAATGATATTTACTCGTTTTTGTCTTATATGACACAGATAACAACAAATAAAATATTATATTTGGTGTAAATAAAGAAAAAAAAAAGAGCGTTTTATGTGGACGTTTTTTTTTTTGAAAAATCATCTTTTTAATTTAATATTTTTGATCAGGCATCGATCAGATTATATTTCTCGATCTAACACCCTTTGCAGTAAGGCGCGCCCCTATAGCGTATTATACACTGATTTGACGTCATGTAGGGTAAAGCGCGCCTTATATTGACATGGATATACGTGTGTATGGTACGAGGCAATTTCGTAATTAAGGGTATAACGCGGGGCAGGGGCTACGCCTTACCTGTGATTCTGACACGCGTCAGAAAGGCGTTGCCCCTGCCCCGCGCTATACCCTTAATTACCAACCTACACCCGTCCGTTCACACCCATCTCTCCCTATAAATACCCCCATTTTCAATTAATTTCATCACACCAAATCCTCTCAACTTCTCTCAAATACTCTTATATTCTCTTATTAAGGTATATTTTATTATTTAGTATTTTTTTAGTAATTTATTTAATTATTTTAATTATTTAATATTTTATTTAATTAATTTTTTTTGCAGATTCAAAATGGAAAGTGATCTTCTTTTGTTGGATGGAAATCATATATCTCGACACTTTGCTGATACGGTAACATTTTAACGTTTTAATTTATATTTTAGGAGAGAGACCGTATATTAGATCATTTTATTAGGAACCTTAAGTTAGTTATACCTACTCGTGTAATGACGTATTTAGTAGAGGCTAGATTCGGTCACCTAGGTAGATATCAGAGTCACTGTAAGATAGAATCAGACCTTATTTCTGCCTTAGTAGAGCGGTGGAGGCCGGAGACCCACACATTCCATCTTCCGTGCGGAGAGTGCACGATCACACTTGAGGATGTTTCTATGCACCTGGGGCTTCCGGTGGATGAAGGTGTGATATCAGAGATAGCTTCCGGTTCTTAGACTACTTTGTGCCGGGTTAGTCTAGGACGTGTCCCGGAAAATTTTAACGGTGGACAAATACCGTTAAATTGGTTAGATGCCAATTTTTGGGAGTTGAGCGAGGACGCGTCTGACAATGAAGTTAAACAGTATGCACGGGCATGCATACTGCAGCTGATAGGAGGGTTGTTGATGCCGAAAAAATCGCGCAACCAAGTTCATTGTATGTGGTTGTAATATCTTGGCGACTTTTATCTGGCCGGATCACTAAGTTAGGGCTCGGCAGTTTTGGCTTGCCTGTACAAGGAGATGTGTCGAGTCATTGACTACAGGCATAATGCTATCGGCGGATGTCTCCTGCTGCTGCAGTCTTGGGCATGGTATCGACTGGAGGGTCAGTTTGTACCACATTTGCTGGAACTCCATCTACATCATCATCACCATCGGAGTTGAATTGCTGTGATTCTGGGTGAATGAATAGTCCAATCTCAGCACTATCCGCACTAGGATCACGAAGCGATTCTTCTGGTGGAGATGATGGTTCCTTCATGCTCTCCACATTTAGGTCGAATAACCTACTACTGGCACGCCTTCCCCTTGAACTAGAAGGCATATCTGGATTGAGATCGAGAAAGCTCGCAGTCGAATGCCTCCCCCTAGAGCTTGAAGTCATCGTGTCAAATGGAAACTACACAGATTGTTGTGTCGATGACATCTCCATATTAAGGTCAAATAAATTTGCAGATGAATGTCTTCCCCTCGAACTGAACGTGATGTTGCCATACGGATTATTCGTGGATCCACCTCGGTACATATCGTAAGGAGTTGTGGATGAATGTCTTCCCATTGAAGTTGATGTGTCGGCACCATGATGTGTATTTCACATTATGACATTAAAATCATTACACATTACTATAGTCGGACTGTCAACTTGATCAACTTGTTCAGCCAGCCCATAGTGTGAGCTTAATGGCTGACGCCAAACAGCACACACTTTAACAAACTTTGTATACATCTCAATATCGTCGTATGAATAATTACTTTGAGAATTAGCCATCATTTCAATATCATTATTGTTCGATAGTTTAAAACGTTGTATAAATTAATGACAACAATGATGTTGGAAATCTGTACTGCAACGACGACATTCTTCTACTACTTCCAACATGAACCTTCCTCGAAATCTTCGTTATCAGCTCCTCAAGAGTTATGTTTCTCTTAAATGATATTTTAACACGCTAAATTGATACGAAAACAAAGCCAGTTTCATCTTATCAAATTTCTCTATCATAATAAACAATAGCTGAAAGTCGCGTCATTCTTAGAGTTTAAAAGTGCAACAATATTATATCTGCAAAGAAACAACTGAAACAAATCTGATTAAATAAATAATATATGACCAAAAATATAATAGAATAAATTTTTTACACATAAACGTAAATAATTTAAATAATATAATTTTATATTATTACCTTCACCGCAAAAATATTTCGACGTATGCTCTCACTTTTTAATTCTACAAACACATAAATTAATTGAAAACAATTAGTATAATATTTTTTCAAATAATCATATATAACTATAAAATAAATATTATAACAAAATTACCTTATAACGAAAGATCGAGCAAACTTCTGAATCAAATATAAGATGATTGTAGGATGTTATTTACCGATTCAAAGGATTGTTGGTGAGAGAGTTTACGGGAGACGACTATTTATAGCCGAGAGATGATGCCTTAAAGTCGAGAAGTTTGGGAAAATAATACAAGGCGCGGTCCTTGCACCGCGCCTTGCAATATGCATGTTTGATAATTAAGATAATTGAATAGCGCGACTCATGCCCCGCGCCATACACACGTGTATCCATGTCAACAAAAGGCGCGCCGCAGGAGGCGCGCCTTACCCCACGTGGTGCCAAATCAGCGTATAGCGCGCTGCAAGGGACGCGTCTTACTACAAAGGGTGTTAGATCGAGAAATATAATCTGACCGATACCTGATCGAAAATATTAAATTAAAAAATGATTTTTCAGGAAAAACACCTTTCATGTGTTTGGAACTGGATACATATGATAATAGCAATTTGTTTGGTGATCCTCGTTCAATTAGTACTCAACTCACGACCTCATTCATTCCAAGTTGACTTGAACAGCCAGTTGGCAATTATCTTTATTTTTCATTTGAAACTTTTATGAGAATTAAAAATAATTTAAATATTATTTTCAATCTTATCAAAAAATTTATTGAATATTAACATTAACTTATAAAACTAATCGTTTAGTATGAAATTCAAATTTATCGAAGTTTAACACATTTATAATAACTTGAAATAAGGCTTGCTGGGAATTTGTATATCATGTTATGATCAAATTTATTTTATTTTTTTAATGTCGTGCCCGATTCTAAAGGGGACCAAAGCCCGCCACTCAAATTCCTGCTTGATCTTTGTTTCAGTTTATGTAATACGTTTTTCTCTTTTCGGAAACAAACATTCATATAATAGAAAATCAATCCCCCCATTAACGAAGTTCCAAATTATTGATTGGGGAATTCAACGCCAGAGAACTTCAACGCCAATTGAAACAACAAAATAACTTGCTCATTTAAACCTAAACCCAAAATGGAAGGGGTCTAGGAAACTGCGATGCGCGGCATTATATGCTATCCAATGCCTGCTGTACATCAGCCTTCAAATCTTGAAAGTCTTCAACTCCGAAGCTGAAACGAACCAAGTTATCTTCAATCCCGTACTTGCGCCTCTCCGCTTGGCTAAGATCCCTGTTTCATATTGCACAAATTTATTAATGGACTTCCACAACCGCCCCCTCAAACAAGGGACATACAAAACACACAAGGACAATACCGATCTCCTTCAAATACTTTAACAATCCTATTTGACAATATAAGATGACATCAATCTGCACTAAGCTTATAATGCCTTATCTATTCAGTTCATTACAAGTCGCATTGCGTTTCATGTATTTAATCTCAGTATCTTCCCTCAATCTCAGTTCATAAACAGTTAAACCATTGCCTAGACGGATAAGCACAAACAGTACAGATCAATACATAAAACAGGAATAGTGTCATACCAATAGGACATAATAGCCGGCTGATCGACAATGCTCTCACAACCACCAAAGGATGGAGCAATGTATGGAATCCTTAATGCATCAACAAACTTGCTGGTGGTCATCAAATCTCCATCCACCTGAATGATTTAGAAGACATTAACTACAAACAGTTTTTCCATGAATAACACCAAATGGAAGTAAAGATATTAAAGATGAATATCCGAGGTACAAGGTTAAGTAATCGAAGACAACAAACCTCAAAACTGACCACACCACCAAAGCCAGTCATTTGCTGCTTGGCAATTTCATGTTCTGGATGACTTGGCAAGCCTGGATAATAGACTCGTCTCACCTTCCATTGATATTTAATAAGCCAAGAGAATAGGAAATTAGTCCAAATTGGAAAAGTCGTAAAAGATCAATCAGATGTAAAACCAAAGCTAGGTGGAGGTCATTCAACCAGGTATGCCATGCAAACGCAACACCCGTCCAACAGTAGAGGCATATTCCCACTGGGAACCAGATGCAGTGGCACTATCAGTCTATCACATCAGTTGTAAGTATACCAAATCATTCAAGGAAATTTAAACATGCATAAAGATGGCATAAAAGGTTGGAAACGACCATTGAGACACCACTACACCAGAATCCAATAGAAGCCAACTTAGTACACATGCTCATCTTCACTTTTTTTTTATATAAAAAAATGACTTCAGTTTCTTTAGAATTTTGCCTGATTGTGGTTTTTAATTTGAGTTGCATTAAATGGAATGTACATAAACAAGATATAAAAAAAGGGAACGTAACAGCAATTCATACCCTAGGATGTGCCTCTAAAACTTTGGCCATCCTTAATGCTGTTGAATTCTGTTGCTTTACACGAAGATGCAGCGTCTTCATGCCTCTGATGATTAGGTAAGCGGCATTCTGTTTTTAAGTAGAAACAAACATATTACTTTGTGATCCTTGCATACATGTAATGGAGAACTACTAGGGCACACATATTTGAAGAATAAGATGAAGGTCATTAAAGCACCATTCTTAAAATAACACAAGACAGTGCAAAATAAGCATGTACGTTTAGACAAAAACATGATAGACAATGCAAAATTACTTGATCAAGATTCAGGTAAGGACAACTCACCGGGTTGAGTGTACCACCCAAAATATGATGCAAAGTACGAATTTCAGTAATCAGCTTCTCTGGACCACTTATGCAACCAGCAAGAACCTGTCAAATGAAGAATTACACTTATTTATGGTTTGAATTAACAATAACTAACATCAAGAATGGATTTCAAACTGACTAAATTAACAAAAGACGTGCTTACATCATTATGGCCACCAATGAATTTTGTAGCAGAGTGCAAAACAAGATCAGCACCAAGGGCCAGGGCCTTCTGGTTAAGAGGTGTAGCGAAGGTACCATCAATGCAGACAAGTGCTCCTTTGCTGTGACACAGCTTTGAAACTCTTTCTATGTCAACACATCTGAGGAAAGGATTTGTTGGAGACTCGGTAAAGAAAAGAGAAACCTGCATGGAATCACAATTCACTCTCAATTCAGGATAAGCTATCATTACCAAAGTTAACATAATAGAAAAATCTAGATAACAAGGGAACCACTTTCTATCACACTGACTTTGTTCTTGTTGAGTGCAGCCTCCAGGCCATCCACATCTGCTGGATCAATAACAGTAACCTGCATATTGGATGATTTTTTTTATAAGAACATATTGGATGATCACCAGAACTCAATTAGAAATTTCAACAAGTCAAGCATTAAAATGGTAGTTTGTTGCATACAACATTATGTTCTTAATGCTCTTATATATGTCAAAAACCCAATAAAAGAGGAATTCTTGTGAATATAAACTTTTACTCTAAAATCTACATCATTTAGGTGCATAGCTCTTTAGGTAGGCACTATTGATGAGGCCTTGGCTTAATAGCAAGGAGGAGACTTTTGGAACTTTGAGGTCCCAAGTTAAAGTCCCACAGAGAGTGGGTTTGGTATTTATTACTGTCCAGATATATTATGGTTGGGGTTATTCAGGGTGAATTCCGGTTTGCTAGTTGGATTATTTAGTTAAGTTATTTGGTGATATACAAATGTAATGCTTGATCATGATTGTAACTTCTCGTATAGTTGTAATGATTAAAAATCATATAGTTGATCATGACAATATAACGACAGAAAAGAAACAATAACAAAATTGAAGTCATACCGAGATTCCCATTTTAGGCAGAAAGTTCTCAATGAATATCCTAGTTTTCCGGTAGCAATCTGTTGTTGTCACCATATGTCCCCCAGCAGGGACTAATGCCATCAACATGACCGTGCTAGCACACATACCAGATGCCATAATCAGGGTCGACTCAGCTCCCTCAAGTGCACTGAACCAAAGAAACATAACCTCGTGAGTGTTTTAACTCCATTTAAACTATCAAAAAGGATGATAAAAAGAGGCAGCCAAACCTTATCTTCTCCTCTGCAACCACTGTGGTTGGATTTCCATACCGCCCATATTCAAAACTTGTATGGCGTTTCTCCTGCAGCAGATCACATAGAACATTAATTCACTGGAATTTATAGGTCAAATATCAAATGCTTCTAAGAACTTGTCCTTTCATCTCTCAACTATACATTAACTGGATAAGCAAAAAGTGTCTGTTTGCATTGTATTTTGGCAAATTTAACCCATGAACATGATACTCTGCCCATGACAATAGCTACTTGCAAGTTGCATATAGTGAACCAAGAATCTATTAAAATAGAAACCTTAACTAGTAGACCGCAAATCTTAACCGCCAGACAACAGATTTATTAATGCTATTATTATACCTTGAAGTCAATAAGCTCCTGAGTTTTCTTAAAGAAGTAAGCGGAAGTATTAACCACTGGAGTGGTAATTGCATCAGTAACAATACCGCGACCTAATCTTTCACCTGTAAAAAAAAGGGAAAGAAAAAGAAAAGCAAATTCGTTTTAGATACTTGTTATCACAAAAATGTAAGGATGTAAAGAAAGAAAAATAAGAGAACATAAATTGATAATTAATAAATCAATGATTAAATCTAGATAAGAAATGAATCTTAAATAATTTGTAACGTACACAAATTATTGTAATTATCAAATTACTAATTATCTCAAATACATGGATCTAATTTAAGCCACATATATAGCTTTCTCTTTTTTTCCATTCAAAATAAAAACTTTCCAAAATAAAAAAGAGAACATAAAAATAAATAAATAAATTTCAGTGAAATTGAAAATTAATTCAATTACCAGCATGAACAGTGATGCTCCCATCGGAGCGCAAAAACGATGTCGCTGAATTATCTGAACCTCCAATCTGTACACTACGGTTGTCAGTACAATCTTCTACATTCGTCACGTCATCATTGACAGTGACGGCGGCGGCGGCTGCAGCAGCCGCCGGGGAGGGGGAATCCGAAGCGGGACCATTCGACCACGAAGCAGCGACGATTTGCGCGACACCGATATTGCTACAGTTGCGTCGAGCCTTGATGCTGAGCTGACGCACGAAATTCGGCGGGAAACGAAAGATCAGAGACGACAAACCACGTGTACTGACACCTCCGGCATAAAGCGACGACGCCGTCACCCTTCGGCTGCACGAAACACGAGGCTTGTCACCGATCGGCGCACCAGAGAAGTCGGGATCCGGACGGCACTCAAATGAAGAATAGGCATTAAAAACCCTAGGAGAAAATGAAGATGAGGAGACCGCCATTTTTTTTTTTTACGAAAAAAGAAATTTCTCTCCTTTCCGCGGCTTCTCCGAAGGCTCCTTTTAAAGACTTCCTCAAAATGAAACTGGTTAAATACGCGAACTCCGTTGTCGTTTTGTGGATTTTCTTTTGGGTAAAATGAGTTGGTCCTCCACTTGTTTTTAACCAGGGTTAGATTTAGGTTTTATGGAGACTAGTTGTTTTGTTAACGTGGCGGATAGGCAATGGTTGAACCCCATGTTTGTTTGTAACATAACATTCCAATTTCCTCACTTTCTCGATTTTTTTTCAGCATCAAAATTTCCCTGAAATATATATATATATATTTTTAAATCTTAAAATATATTAATAATTCTAGAATAAGTGGTTAATAATTTGATAAAAATTTACTTGTAGGTAATCTCATTCTTTCAATCAAATGTTATAATGTTTTAAAAATAATCGGGGTGATTACCTTTAAATTCTAAATGTAGTAATTTTATATTTCTACCAAATAAATCAAGTGAAATGATAAAACATTTCAAATGATATATCAAATAATATTACATTTAGGGATTGTTACGAGATCCGAATTCGATGGGTTCAAACCAATCCCTATTGAGTTTATTTTTTTAATCAAAGTCGAACCGAGTTTATTTTTTGAAAGTTATGTTCGGGTCGGTTTAGGTTTTATTAAATAAAAGTAATATTTTTTACAAATATATTATTTTAAGACATGTCAGATCAGGTTCGAATTTTATCTCAAAAAGACGGGTCAAATTCGGATCAAGTGAAGAGTATATATTTTTAATTCGAATTTGAACCGAGTAAAGGGTCTAATTTTTGAATCGGGTCAAATTAACTAAAAACATAACCAATGTTCATCCCTAATTACTTTTCATGATTTATATTTTCAGAAACAATCTCATATTAAGTGAATCAAACATTAAATCATTAAACATATATAATATTTAGACATGTAATGAATGTGTATACAATAATTTATATTATACTGATTTTAAAATATTTATATATTGATGGTATATACACACAATAAAAATGGCAATAGAGTGAACATGTGAAAGTTGTCCAAGTGGAGTGCCTCTTTTATCGTGGTCCATGAGTTAGATGGAGCTCCTTTGCATAGAGTAGGCCTCAACAAAAGGGAAATCATCAGATGCGGAAGTTTTAATATACGAGTAAAAAAATATTATCAGTTTTGTTATTATTTAAATAATAAAATTATTAAAAAATTATCGAAAATATTATTATTTTTATCAATTTTATTATTATTGGCGTTTTACTAGTTTTGTTAACAAAACCAACAAAACGATATCGATTTTATTATTTTTGGACATTTTACTAAAAATATTAAAAAATATTGATATTTTAAATAAAAATAATAAAACTAATAACATTTTTTTTAACTATACATATTAAAGATATCACGCTATAAATTCTCCAACAACAACGATCAGACAAAATCTCGTAAATCGTATCTTCTTTTCTACCTTTCCGTAGTATCTTTGAAAAATAATTGTTGAAAAACAAGTTTTTTTTAGATAACGAGGGGTAATTAGATTTAAAAATAAATCATTATGTATTATATATCACGAAAAAAATAAATTATAAAAATTTATTTATATAATACCCTCAATTAATTATAATTGAGTATACTTTTAATGTTAATATAAGATAAATTTTATATTATATTATTGGAAGTAAGTTAAATAAGGTTAAACCAATAACATTTGTTTAAGTTTATCACGTAAAATATTTTTCGAAAAATATTTTTTTTTCAATGCTTGGTTGGTGGAAAACATATTAGTTAATGTAAAACATTTTATTGATCAACACAATTTACTTTGCACTTTTTGAAAATGAGTTATTGTCTGATTTTTCAAACTTTTCACTTCAAAGCATAATTACTAAGAATAATATTATTTTATGTATTTAATATTACTATAATATTTAGTATCATTTTAATAAAATATTAGTTATTAAAATATTTAAAATATATTTATTAATATTTTTAATAATATAATATCATATGTTATAATATTATAATAATATATTCAATAATATTAAATAATATATGATATTATATTCTTATTTTAATAATATATAATAAATTATTAATAAAAAATATATTATTTATTCATTTCATGAAAAATAATATTATTGAATTATTAGTAATGAATAATATTGTTTATGTATTTAATATTAATATACTAATATAGTAACATTTTAATAAAAAAATACTTAAAATATATTTATTAATAATTTTTTAAATATAATATTCTTATTTTAATAAATATTTAATATAATTCATAATGTTTTTGTTTTTGTATAATATACTAGTGTTAATATTTGTATTTATTTATAAAAATAATAATTTAATAATAATATTGACAAAAATACTATTAAATAAAATATTTTAATATTTTAAAAATAATATTATTAAATTTTATAATAAATAATATTATTTATTATATTTTATATTTATAATAAACAATTTCTAAAAATTATTAATTAATAAAAAATAGTTAATATAATAATTTTTAAATATCATAAGATATTTTCCAAAAAATATTTTTATATTCCGGTCATAGTCATAGTCATAGTTTCTATATTCCAGCCTTTATTTTGTTGTGCACGACAACGGGGACGACGAGGTTTGAGTAAAGCCGCCTCGTAGTAAATAGCAATAGTCGCACTTTGATTTCTATATTCCATGTCTTAGGTTTCACATTTGATTCACAGATTTTTTAATTTCAAAATTCTAAATAACCTATTGCTGTCGTTTTTAATTTCAAATTTCTAAATTTATTTTATAATTTGGTACGCTTAATCGGTGTTGATAGTTACATATCAAAATTTATTTAATTATCATCTTATTCAGAAGAATACTTATTTTTCATTTTTTTATTAATTTAAGATAAGTATAAAATAATATCTATTTAAAGATAACTTTCAATTATTTGACATTAAACGCTCACATTTATGATATTTTTAGTACTTGAAACTTCAAATAATATCAACAATTCTTTTATCAATGAAATCGTTTGTTTCATATTATTTTTATTATTAAACATTGATTAGTTTATTTTTCAAATATATCAATTGAGATGAATTTTACTAATAAGACTGGGATGATAATTTTAGCAGTTATATATGCGTCTTGGTAAAAACACAAAAGAAGGGTGGCTAAATCAAAATAAAATAGTCAAATAAGTTTCAAAAGCGAAATTTAATTGATATTCTTCGCATGTGAAGTTAACTTTTACACGAAAGTTTAAAAAATACAATTTGTTTGTTACTGATATTACTAAATAATATTTTAATTTAGTGTGGTAGTCGACAACTAAGACTAAATATTGAAATATTAATAATTAGTTGGTTTATTGAAAGGAAATATTAGATTAATGGCATAATCATGTTTGTGTAATGATGAGATACATTTATAAATGTACGATGTCCCTAAATAAGATGCATCTATAGGAATACCAACCAATAAAATATTTTGTATTTCTCTATCTATACCAGATAGGGCAAACCATCAAACTTCATCATGGTTCATATCCCCCATCTTTATAAACAAAGGCGCCTCTAGCCCTCTATGAACTTAAAAAAAAAAAGTTGTCTCTAAGGCTCTTCCATCCTAGATCTATACATAGGAGATCCTAGGGACTCTTCCATCCCATATTTGATCCATCCTATATTTTATTTTCCCTTAATCTTAATATGTGTCAAAATTTTATTGGAGATATTAATTTATTAAAAAAACATGTAGATATATTAACTTAATTGTTATTGACATGTGGATGTTTCACGTCCGTTGTTGTTAATGGTTCAACAGTTTAGTGATCAAAATGATATTTTTCTTAATTATAGTGACTAATGAAAGTTTTTCAACTTTGATGACTGAAAGTAAAAGAACACTAAAAGTTCAATGACCACCAGTAGAAGTGTATTTATTTTAACATTTCTAATCTGAACCGTCCAATATCGATGACTTTGCAGATATCCAATCAGAATATTATATACCAAAGATAGCGTCAAACGGGTATTCCGTGTAATGCCCTAAAAGCCGTATGCTTATATATAGCAAGCAACCAGGCAATTTTTCCAAACGCCTCAATCCCTCTGTAACTTGTGTGCGGCTGAAACTGAGGTCTCCAGGCAAAGACCAATTTCTGGCCACCTCTTCTTCTTCTTATTAATTTTTTTTTTTCAATTTGAGAAAATATAAACGCACAGTGTACTGAGGCATCATGAAGAATGAAAAGCTTTCATGAACATTTGCCTAATCTTAAACGTGCAAAAGTGAAGAAAGGGATCCGCTTTGCAGCTTAAACTTTTAAACAATGTTTTTGCTGTCAGTAATGCCCCCTTACAATTACTATCAACTTATTTCTCTTGTTTTAAGTTTATTCAGCAACTTTAGATTCTCTCAAATCTGCTAGTTTTCTTCTTTTTGAACGTTTTAATTGTTTCTGGTGAGTGTTTTCCACCGTGCTTTGTTTAACAGACACATCTTATTAATGTATTTCTAGTTTTATACATATACTTCAAATCAGGTCCTACATATCCTAGGAAGTTAAGTTTAAGTATTGTTTCTTTCTTTCTTTTTTTTTTTTTGGGGGGGGGGGTGGGGGGTTAGCAAACTCAACTCTAATAATACCTACCCGGAAAGTTTAGGATTTGAATACCGTCATCATCCATTTTTTCCGGGTATTGACAACTTTTTCATATTATAATCTAGTATAGTAATAAAAATAATGTGTGGTCGTATATAGTTTGTATATAATATATAGTTCGCATATTAAGTGAATATATATCATATAGGATATAGTTTAGTATATAATATATAGTTTTCATTAGTTATTAAATAGTTGTGTAGTGGTCTATATTAAATAATAGTTATATATTATATGGTTCATATTAAATAATTACATGTCATTATATATGATATAATTTCATTAAATAATTAACATATCATATAGTTTGCACTATAAATAGATAGACCATATTAGAATAGTCCATGTTAAATAAATAGCCCATTTTATT